GTCATTATAGAAAGTTCTTAATCCATTGATATATTTGCTTGCCTTCGCAATTGGCTACTGAATGAAGCCAGAGATTTTTCATGATAAGATGATGGTGGACAAGGATTTAGCTTTACAAATTCAGAAATCCACAGACTGAAACCACTTAGCTTCGCGACTTCATTCACCCATTTAATATCTATATTTTCCAGACGAAGTGCGAAGTAGATTTTTACCATAGATGGACCATGTTGAATCTGGTGGGAGTCAAACCCATGACTCGTTAGCCATACAATGCTAATAATAATAATATTGCGACGAAACAGATGGCGCTATCGTAGCCCTTTTACTCTGACATTAGAGACATCTTCCACCACCGAGATCACGGCTGTTACAAAGTATCCGAAACGTCAATGTAGGTAAAATAAGTTATCTAATATATTTCGCGTTTTAAACGGTTAAAGTATTTTATTTCAATTATCAACGAATCGAATGCAATTACTCCATTAAATAGGCGCAACTAGCGCTAAATATTAGCGCTGTGTAAAATACAGACCGCAAAAGAGCGAGGCGGGTGCCAAACGACTCCTCCGGACACGGCGTGCGTAAGGCTAATATAAAATGTAGCGCCAACGCCAGTGCGGGCCAATCAATAATTCAAAGAGGGTGTTCACCCTCGCAGCGCGACCGCCGAACAAATTGACAACTGCGCCCATGCTACCATTTCTTCACATATTGTTTGCTTTTACCAACGCAGATTGCGGGACAGGGCAGCCAGATTCTTATGTTCGTGTCGCTAATATACTTTATCAATGGGCAAGCAGTTATTTAAAAAAAAATGTTTTAAATAATTGCACATGATGGCACTACATAAATTTTAAAAAATCCGATACAGACAGGATTTGAGCCGGCATCTCCAGCGTTCCGTGCTCTAATCAATTGAGTTACCGTGTCGCTACGTGGCAATTGGTTAGAGCAACAGGACGGAACGATGCCGGTTCAAGTAATTTCGTAGTAAGTGTCGTAATTATTTTCAATTTATAAACTATTTTTAATTTAAGTAGTTAGTTACTAAAACTAGCGTATTGTATGTACAGTAGAACCTCTATAAGTCGAATATCAAGGGAGACGCCGAAAATTTTGAGTTATAGAGTTTTCGACTTAGGCAGATTTTGATTCAACATAAAGAGGTTGAGATTAATTTTTATAAATGTTGAGTAAGAGAGGTAAAATACGTTTCACAGCACTCATATTCCAACAATATTTGTAAACTGATGTACAAATTGATATATATTGCAGTAGAACCAAACTACTTCTGACAACATTTCATTTGAAAACGAATAACTTGCATTCAAATGAAAACAAAACTAATAAAATCAAACACCTGACATTAAGCAAGCAAACACGGGGTAATGTGAGACATAAATTCGTAGTAAATAGAATTTATTCATTCATTGCAAATTCTTAAAGTCGGTTACTTATTGGAATTCGAAATATAGATGTAATAAAATGAGTCTAAAATAATAGAGTAAAATAAGACGTTGCTATTTTCGAGATACAGAGGTTAAAAATAATTTTTCGAGTTATGGAGGGAATATATGTACCGAATTGGCTTGGAGGGACTCACTGACTATTTCGACTAATAGAGGGTTGAGATTTCGAATAACGGAGGTTTTGGTGTTTGAAAGGAAGGGAACACATTTTTTTTTCGAGATGTGGAGGTTTTTGACTTATCGAGGTTCGACCTCACAGACCTCTTGCTTAACTTGAAAATAAATTTTTCGATTAAAAATAAAGTTAAGTATTGTTTGTTAAATAAAATACTTTTAACGGTCTTAAGCTCGAAATATAAACATTAATATTTTTCACATGTTATTGCACATGAAGGCACTTGAAGGCACTATATAATTTGAATTATATTAGTTAACTTAATTTTAATTTATTTTAACTACGGCCCGTCGTTTCGGTTGCTTTGCTGCAGATGTGGCCACGGAGAAATGATAAATAAATCTAATAATATATTTCAAGTCTTTAATCGTTTTATTCAAATTAAGGTAAGTTCCAAACTAGAAATTTATTTACGACATTCAGCTTTCGAAGTAATCTCTTATATCCTTCGCCTAAATCAAATTTAGCGTTACTAAATACCGCTACTGACGTATTGCGAAGAATCTTAGATGTTTGGCGCCAATTGTCTAGACACCGGGGCGGGAGGCATCACCTTGAGATACATGCAGAGCATAACTGAGCCAAAAAATTGCCCTAGCGCGTCGAGATAATAGAAATATTACCTACACACACTGGTTACTTGAGTAATAAAAATTATTTTCGACTTTTTCGTTCATTTATTAAGCTAGGTTTTTAAGATGTTCGACCGTCGGTAATTTTGGTACTCGAGAATTTGAGGTCGTCGTAATATAATCAAAGTTGCAATCCACACTATTGCAAAACATGCTTTAAACGCGAGAGTTCCAGGTTTGAAATCCCGAGACAACGATAAATTCTTTCAGTCGGGCAGGGCACAGAATTCTTAAGTACTAATAAGGAATAAATCCATGAGCGCAACGTTGAAATTCGTTCACCCCACCCCCAAAGGGGAAAATAGAGTTTTTCCTTTATATGACACATCTAGACTTAATCAAACACGTGATGTGAATTTTATCTTGTCTAAGAAATTATAAAAAATATTATGACAGAAAAGGACGGACTTGTATCGGGTCCACTTGTTAAGATTTCTACATTAAACATTAATTTGGTGTCGCTATCACTGCAGACATATGTGTTCTGTCTAGACGAATAACGGTCTGTCTATACACTTATTTTTTATTATACATATACATAAACTGTAAGAAGGCAGAATAAATGGAAAAACGTTTGTAAAACAGGTAGAAGTGCGAATTATTTAACTTATTTTTAAACGGTTACGAGTGTTTTATTGAAATATAAATTCTCGTAAACTAACTAAACTGTAAATCAAAATACCCAATTGTAACAAATGCTTGTCTGGATGTTGAAGTTATTATAATGTGTATGTAACCTTCAGTATTATATGCTATATGTTGTTTTTTAAGGCTTTCACGGTCATTGTTCAGCATATCATTGTTTTTGGGCGAAGAATTATGATTATTACTATAATGCTTCGAGCAATCGACGAGCTATCATCTCCTGATAATGCCGTCTCTCTCCCCCCCCCCCCCCCAGCAGGATCTCATCTATGCAAAGGATACATTGACCAAACCACGATAAATACATAACTATTAAAGAGATTTTCAAGAGTAAGATAAGAAACCTTTTACTCTAAGTATGGCGGCTATTTGAAACGTTAAAATTCTCCGCATTAAACTCCCATATTTCCCTCGAAGCTCTGGGGAGCCGGCGCAATATTTCACTTTTGTTGACTTGGGCACAAAATGTCGGACTGACGAAGGACAGACCAGAATTATGTATAATAGCATTGAGGACGCGTGGAGGTCGCCAAGTATAAATACAACTAGCTCACGTTTTTGTTACAATCTCTACGCACTTCATGTGTACATATTCTTCCTTGTTAGTTATCATTTAAATATCTATTTACGTCCGTTAGAAATCTATCCTAGATAGATAACCTAGTTGCTGGTCTTGCCCGACACAACACGGCTCATTTGCAATCATGTTCGCTTTGAGGACACCCCACAGCAGCAGGTAGATACATCGTTCACAATTACTACATTACACGGTGTACTGCTCGCTCCGAGATAATTACATTGGTCCCGTAGATATCAGACCCCAATATGTAATACAGTATGCAATTACACTTTTTGGAATACATATTTAAATCAAATGAGGAAAGAAAGAAATATGTCTATTTTTTCGTCGTGGTCGTGGTTGCAATTCCCACTGACTCCGGCTTATAATTTCCTGAAAGACGCTAAATGCATCTGGAAATCTGGATATTGGAGGTTGGTAGGAATCACCGTTCACAGATGAAAAAGCAAGCCAAAATAGGTCGACAGCAGGTCGTTTTGAGTTTTGCTTGCTTGTCCTTCTCTATTATAAAAAAAGAAAATTTTTCTCTCCAAACAAAACCACTTCAAACGTCTTATAAAGATATAATCAAATCCGTTTATTTCAATACAAGAGTGCATTTTCATTTAGTACCAAATACAAAGGATATTTGGTATTAAATGAAACCTTCTACTTCCTACGTATGTGACAATATCGATCTTAGACCTCGGTCTAACTTTACAAAGTTTGAGACAAAACAGCATCGGCTTTTTAAACTTTGTCACTTTACGACCGCGTCGACGATATACGGTTTAAATTTTTTATTTTTAAAAACCGCTCACTTTTGTTGTATATTGCGTTTTAAACTATATTGTAATTTATTTCTGTGACTAGAATCTTCTCAGAACGACTGAACCGATTTTTAAGAACAATTATAAGCATATTGTACAGGTAGGTTACCGCAAAATGTTGACTCGTTCCGTAAGATATTTATTTAGCACGAACATATTAACCAAAACGGTTTTAAACGGGGAATATACTCGCTGTCTGCTTTTTAGGACGGACTCTACTTGAGATGAGGACATTGGCGACAAATTAAACCAATAATCCAAACAGGCAAATACAAAGTACAAAAAAGTTCCGATAACTCGCCCATCCTACTAACTTAACAATCGATAAATAATAGAGAATATAGTTCTTGATCTGAGAATTCAAGATTAATGGGATACCTCATCTTTGATTGCAGAAAAACGAAATTCGTTTAAATATTCTAAGCGTTTATAGATCTTGTCTATATAAAGAAAGACATATATAGCTAAAGAAATATGATTGTTAGCTATTAGTAACAGAGCGTTGTAGTGCTACGCGGCGTAGCTGTCTACGAACGAAAAAACGACAATTGACGATCAGAACCATCAGTAATTTTTCAGAGTTACCTGTTATCATTTTCAAAACTCAAATATCAACCTTGCTCCCAGTATAATAATTTGTTTTAACGTTTTGTCTATGTTATTGCAGTAAAAAAAGATAGTACGTACCAAAACACCAGCCGATCGTGTACCTACCTGAAATAAAAAAACATAAATACAGATCTGTAACCATTTTCTTTTTGTTGCGTGTTAAAAGCTTATTATAGTGATAAGAAAGATTTTTAGTAAATGTATAATTGTTAAATGTTTTTAACTCTTAATAATTAACAATACTCCGCCAAAGATATACATCGATACACAGCTTACATAGGTTATTGTGTTTGAGATGGAAGTCATTAGTCGGATGCTTGTATTGACTTCCTGCATCTGACGTAAACCAATCTGTAATGTTAACGACAATAAATATGGCCTCCGTTACAGCAATGTAACTTTTATTAAAAGGAGATTCGTTGATATTTGATACATAGTATTTGTGTCATTTTCGTTTGATTTATAACCAGTGAAAAAGCCGTAGTGTTAATGCACGTTATGATTTTAGTACATGGATACCTAAATTTACAGTCGCTTGACAGCCCGTCTTAATTTGATCTAATATAGCGGAGGTATTTCTCTTTTAATGTTTAAAAATATATAAATGAAGTTAATGTCTCCCACCCGACGGCACTAATCTTTAGCGTCCGTCATTATAATTGCAGAATCAATCACATGAATATCAAACCGAAAAAAATGTTGTTATTTTGTCTTATATAATAGTTGTATAAGTTTAGGCTCCTATGCGCGGCGTAAAACCTACAATTGCATTCATAAAATAAAAAACCCCCTTTTTTTAAGTAAAATCTATAATGCCAATTTTGTATGTCGAATCGAATAAAATGAAACTCGAATCACATTAAAAATTGTACATACATACTAATAGCTGTTATTAAGCTATTAGATCTTGAGTTAATTCTATATTTAAATAAAACACTTTATCGGTTTAAAACGCGATATATTAGTTATAGTTATATGTCGTTTTAAACCGTTAAAGTGTTATATTTAAATGTGTACTACTCGCGTAAACTATAGACAGTATTTAATAGTATATTGTTTTATACTTAAGGAAATAATAGTGTTATTAGTTAATAATGAATTATACATATTTAAAATGATTTTATAAGAAGTTCACAGCTACTAGCTGCAATAGTGACGCGGTGGATCAACGCCATCTACCCGGCGAAAACAAAACTAATTGAAAATTACTAAAACTTACTCAATCGGCTGAAGATTGTTATGATCGAATATTAACAGCGGCACAGTCAAGGCACTGTTTCTGTCACCATTGGCACAAAGATACGATTTAGCACGCCTGATATCGGCGAGGTGTGCGATAAGTTGGGATGGCGCGGGTGGACTACCGCGGTGCTGCGCCCTGAACCTGCGCGGAGCTCCCAGCCCCGGGCAAAGAATAAAAAACTAAGATATGCTGTGACGTGGGTATTAGATAACTCAAGAAGTGCGTTGGGAACATAAAATATTCCGGACAAAAGGCGATTCTTTTCGTCGTTAAAAAGATTTATGACTGACCAAAATATGTCAATTATAAAAGTATTTGTTAGCTCTAATAGCTCCAAGAAGAGTACGAACGATTTAAGAACTATGCTGAATATTTACCGCTGTAGTAACTTCGTAAGGTTTCGGTAAAAGTTAGATCAAAATATCAAGCAACAAAAACGTAATACCTAAATTTTAAAAAAAGTGTTTCTTTATGTAGGACACGGTAGCTCAATTGGTTAGAGTAACGGCACGGAACGCTGTGTATGCCGGTTCAAGTCATCACCGGCCTTAATTAGATTTGAGTGTAATGCGTCGGTAGCAGCAAATAATATTTCGTTTTTCTAACAAACGGTAATCTAATTCATGATCAAGTCAACGAGTTAAGAAGGTACCTACTAAACTTGGCTCACGTAATTGCAAATAATATCGATTTAGATATAAATAATGTCAGATATAGACCGTCATACACTTTCCGCAGACTTTACTGTGGAAGCCCCACAAGGGGCAAGCTATTCGAGGCCCCTTCTTGCGAACTCACGACACACTTTGAGTAACATTCGATAAACTTCTATTTTAAAACCCACAGTTAACCAAATGTATTAATAACCTTTAAATAAATGGGTAATTTTATATAATTATGTTGGACAGGGTGATTTTGTCTATCAATTATAATAAATATCAAAACCGTGAACATTAAGTGCAAAGAAATATACTATAGAGTTATTAAAATGATAGGAAACTAGTAAATAATAAAAAATTATAATATAAAATTCTATAAAAACATCTATATGTTTAATTTAATTGAAGTAGTGTTTTATACTACCATTAGATATATTAAATGTAAACCCATGATTGAAGGAGAAATTGTCTAGAGCAATAAATTAAAATACCTTTTAAAGCCTACTTCTGTGATTTGCACCTATATATATATATATATATAAATTTAGATTTGGATTTGCCAGCTATTATATATGAGGCTGCTAGAGGCAGAGTGGCTTATTAACAAAAAAAACTAATTTCAATAAGGTGGAAAATAAAAATGCACAATTGACTTAGGCGAAAATAAATTCATGTAAAAATTATGTTAACAATTCTCTGTCACTGAGCTCTTGTAGATTAACATTTTTAGACTATGAAAATATATATAAACAACTCAAGTCATAAAATTGCAGTTAGGTACTTTGTTTCTAGTGACTTCATATATAGTGAATTCTGACCAGAACTGGATTTCCATATCCATAATAGTTTAAAACACCAGTTAACTTTCCAGATTTATTTAAAGAGATATAAGTTTACAAAAACTACTAGGGCCTTACTTAATTAAAACTGGCATTCCGCTGATGAGAATTTTACTATACAGGGTACCAACACCAACAAGCAAAATGCCTATTGCCTTATTTTAACTCAGTCTCCTAAGCTTAAATTGAGGGTTCAGACAGGATTCACTTGATGGTGCTGCAATTGGCCAAAATTATTTGTAGGAACATCAGGTCAAGTTGATTCCATTACTATTTAATCATACAACATGCTTCACATGAATTGTGTTTGTCTGTTAATAATAAACAATATGCTATTGTATGTATACAGTAAAATTTAAATATGAAAGATGCATATTTTTTTTAATATAATGAACACTTTGAAAGTTGTTATGTAGACAAATGAAAAACATGACATATTAACTATTTCAGTAAAAATATTTTTAAGAAAGTCACTATGTTGAACTAAAATAGAAATCAAGTTTACTGCAAACAAAATGACAGAAGGTAATTTTTTAGTGAAAATAGAGTTTGGTAATAGGGAGACAGTATGATGTAATAATTAAATTGAATTCATATCATATGGGACTTGATGTGTTAGTATTTACGACAGCAAGCAAATTAATTGTAATTTTAGAATAATTACTTAGTTTGAAATGGTCTGTTTTTTCTCTACCATTAGAATGTGGATGTAATGACTCAAGGCAATGCTGCCATTGAAGAAAGAACTATGTGTGGATAATTACTATAGGTCCAAAAAGACAGATTAAGGATAAAATTTAAAAGTAATATGATTCCAATATTTTGATAGACGACATACAGGAAGTGAAAATCTAACTTAAGAGCCCGTAACAACAAACGTAAATAATGTTCTAACTTAGAATTAAAATTTTGAAAAGAAATCCATGTCCCGGTTGTCATTTGTTCTCATGAGATAGCAGAAGAGAACTAAAAACCTGATCTATTTGGATAAAGATAAGACTAAATATGCGAATACATACCAGCCTACGGTGAGTTTATATTACAGCAAAACACAATCTTTAAAAACACCTCATAGTAATCTACGCGGAAGTAAAAGAGATGAATTTTGAATTGGAAATGAGAACTATTCTAATAGTCAATACTCAACACGGACTTTTCTTCTTAATACGTCTGTGCACAGACTTAACACAGAATAAAAATGTAGTATATGTAAATTGTCAACTATAGAGCCATTATTTTTTTCAAATTCAAAGGCAACCTTGGGTATCCAGACTTCTAAGGAGGCCATATTTTCTTCAATTATAAGAATCTTCGCTTTTCCCTCCTTGATGTTTTCCCTTATAGTATTTTTCGCCCTACTAATATTAAATATATTTTACAACTCTCTTCTGCTGATCAATTATGATTTTAGCGCATTTTATTGACTCTAATAATATTAAACTTTGATTCCTGTGTATTAGGTATTTTATCTTTTGTATTATCACCTGTATCATCTGTCACATAATATTGTAGTCTATGTTTTGTTTTTCTTTTTTCTTTTTTTAGCTTCATCCAAATACGAGTGAGAATATTTCTTATGAAATAAATACATCCTTTTAAATACAATGGTCTTTCTTAATACCATTGGTGAAAGAGCAGAATAAAAATAACCATAATAATTTGTACTATCACGCCTTGACTTTCCTCATTGTAGAATGGAGACACAACATTGGCAAAATCCATTTGGGAAAGCCATCAAATTAATAAGAAGAAGAAGGCCGTAATTGTACTTCTCTTGCAGAATACCATTCCTTTCTCTCTTACAATAAACATAATAACAATATTCTTATAGTTCAATCTATATTGTAGACTGTGTTAGTTTCAAAGACTAAACTATAGTCTTAGAAACTTTGGACGTGTTTGTAAACTCTATGGTTTGCACGGCTGGACGCCATTTTGTGATGTAATTTTACTACGAGTCATTGGCGTCGCTTGCGAGTGGATTTTTAAGTGAAATTGTTATAAGACCTTTGTAATTATTAAATTGTGATTTACTGTTACATTGAGGTAAGTTTAAAAGTTCAATATAAGCAATTTGTTCTGTGGTGCATATATCACACAGAGATACAGCGTCATACGAACTTCGACCGTGAACGCTTTTTGTCTGACTTAGCCAAATTATGTATGCGTTTCAGAGTCTATAATGCCGGGCGCCGGTACTTTCAAAATCTTCGTCGGGAATCTTTCCGATAAAACAACAGACGCCGATCTCAGACCGCTATTCGAAAAATACGGTACGGTCGTAGAATGCGATATCGTCCGAAATTACGGTTTCGTACACATGGAAAACGAGCAAGTCGGCCGCGAAGCCATTCAAAACCTTAACGGAGAACTAGTTCACGGGCAAGCGATAAAAATAGAAGCGGCCAAGAGCCGAAAGGCGCCGTCGACGCCGACGACTAAAATATTCGTGGGTAACCTTACGGACAAGACGCGCGCGCCGGAGGTCCGCGAGCTGTTTCAGAAGTTCGGCACGGTCGTGGAGTGCGATATCGTTCGTAATTATGGCTTCGTGCACTTGGACGCGTCGGGCGACGTGAACGAGGCTATTAAAGAGTTGAACGGCATGATGGTAGACGGGCAGCCTATGAAGGTGCAACTGTCGACGAGTCGCGTGCGGCAGCGGCCGGGCATGGGCGACCCCGAGCAGTGTTATCGCTGCGGCCGCGGGGGCCACTGGTCCAAGGAGTGCCCCAAGGCACTAGGCCCCGACCGCAACGGTTTCCGCGATCGAGCATTCGGCCGCGACCCTTACCCTCCGCCGCCGCCGCCGCCCTTCCTTCGCGATCGCATGATGGGAGGATTTGGGGTAACGCGTTGTTTTTCATTTCGGTACGGTTTGCATGTCGAGCGTGGTTTTAAACTCCGGTCGGTTCGCCACGTATCCATCACAGACAGAAACCACCTGACAGACGAACTGATTTCATATCAAAGCTATTTTATGATTTCTGCTGTTCTGTAGTATCAAAAAGCTTAATTAACTATAAAATTAATCACTTGTTCTAGCATATTATTGCATCGCAGATCACAATTAACTTTTTGTTTCTGTTATAACAGGATCCTTATGATAGTTACTATGACCGAGCAAGATTTGATTCACCGAGGGATCTTTTTGAGAGAAGATATCCAGTTGGAAATTCCAGGGGACTAGACATGGGAGCATCACGAGCGAGAGGAGATTTTGTTTCCCCTCCATTGCGACGAGAGCCCATGCCGCCAATGCCCAGCTTGCCACCCATGAGCCGAACACTGGGATCAATGAGGTCATCTTATGACTCTATGTATAGTCGAAGAAGTCCTCCTAGAGGACCCCAAATGACCAGAGGGTAAAATGAAAATATTATGCAGTTCATTTTGACACCCTTCATTGTGTTCATGGAGGGGTTATTCAGAATGTACATGTATAATTTTGAAGGAAATGACCTCATTTTCAAATATTGTTTCTGATTCAACAAAGAAAGATCTATAAGGTGTAATATTTGTGTTTTGTTTCTGTCAAGAAGTGACCTAAGCTATTATATCCGTAAATATAGGAGGTACTGGACATTTTCAACCCATTAAGGGTTTACACTTAACACAGTAATTTCAAATTGAAAATATTTCTATTGCAGATTGTATGAAGATTTTAGCAGAGACACTTTTGATGATAGGAGGTAAATAAAAAAATAAGCTTTACTTTTTCTAATAACATAACTAAATAGTTAAAAATTAACACAAATATTTTTGCAGGCCTGGACTGCGAGGACCATCGCCCTCCAGGAGATACGCGCCATACTGAGTGACACCGACATAGCACAACGCAATAACTCTTTAGTGTTTTATATTTGACAAAACAGATACCTTGTATTATGGACAATATTTTGCTCGGTAGATACCGCTGACGACTGATTCGCAGAATTGTAATTGAGTGAATGGATGCATGGATGGAGAGGTGGTTGTTTATAGAGGCAAATATATCAATTTTAAGTATCTTCTTGTATTCTTATTTAAATATCTATATAGCATATAAAATGATCCTCTCCTCACTTAGACACATCTTATATTTTTATAGAACATCCTGATCATGATACATTAAGTTCATAAAGCTTGTCATATTGCTAGCAGTGTATAGCTATAATCAAGAGATTCAAGTCCTACTTTGTGAGCAGTGTTTCTAAAGAATCAGTACAATTAAACTAATAAAGAACACAGAAACGTTGGGCCGTAGTTTGAAATATGTTTAACTAATAAATATCGCGTTTGAAACCGTTAGTGTTAAAAACAAGTTTAATGAGGTTGGAAATTCACATATCAATAAGCAGTGAAGTTTTAGTCTCATTTTCTGATAGTTAAATGTGGCTGTAAACCTTTTTTCCATACACTATGTCGAGAATTTACCTTCCACCTAAGCTATGTTTCTATCAGAAGAGATTTTTTTTATTAATTGAATTAAATGATGAATTCGGTTATTCTAGGCATCAGGACTTTGGTGGTTAGAATATTTAAACAAAAACGGTGTTATAAAGTGCTATAATATATTTTATTGTAACTTACAACATGTATTAGATACTACACTAACACTATATATACACAACACTGTACATTAAATGCTGCGCTGGCACTCGATTCTACCTTTGATAACAATTTCATATTAAAACAGAATTTCGGAATATTTCAACCGCAACGGAGGTTATGTGAGATTTTTCACCATTAAAAGAAACTAAAGAGAAATCAATCTTTCAGAATATATGTGAAGAGAACAATCAAAATGTAAGGTAAGGTTTCAGCAAAACTTAATACATTTCTACAATTGTTATCAGGCAATACTTGGTTTCTTCAATCTCGCGAAATATTTCAGTTCAATTTAAAAATTACGTCAGTGCTTCGGTCAAAGGTCGAATCGAGCGCACGACGACCACGTTTCACAATAATACTACTTGAAGGCATCTCGAAGACTTATTCTTTCTAATACTTCCCACATTTTTAGTCTTTTAACATCTTTTAAGTACAATCTATAATATAGAAGAATTATCTGCCACTTATATAGAAACAATCGATTCAATTCACGACACCATATTTTGAAAGCTTATTGTCGAAATATCACAATTACATAAGCGGACCGAGTATTCACTTTTAAGAGCTGCCATCTATCGGAAGACTTCAGTACTAGATCCCTTCTAACTTAATATACAACTAATTTTCTTCGTATTGCGTGGAGATTCCGGGGAGGGTTGTCACTGGTAATGTAGAACACTATAAACTTAAGAATACTGAGATTTGAGAGCGGTGGTCGAATCGTTGAGGGATCGCGAGACGGCTAATAAATAGTCAGGAACTTAGTGCGGCTAGGCTTAACGGCTAAACTGTACAGGAACTATGTACACATCAGACAAGTTTCACGCTGGATTCCGTGTTGTACTTGGCGAGAGTCTTTTTGACGCGGAGAGCCGTGAGCCGCACTGGCGGGTTCGCGTGCCAGCACTCGGACATCACGTTGACGAGGGTCGAAAGCGGTTCAGCGCTGATCCAGCGAGAGGGCACCGGCGGCCTCACACCCTTCGCGACCACCACAGCGTGCATGTCCTCGAACGACGGGTCCGACGGTACGTATTCATGGTATGGAAGCGCGTAGTTCTCCACGTACTGCGCCTTATCTCCTGTCGCGCACCGCCGGCACATCTCCCATAGAACTAAGCCCAACGAGTACATGTCCGCCATTTTGAACGCTTCAAAGTTTGTCACGTCCAATTTTTCGTCCAGGACTTCTGGGGCCATGTAGCGTCGGGTCCCGACTCTCGTGTTCGGAGCTATGTCCACTTCATTTCTCTCCGCCACATATCGGACCGCTAGGCCAAAGTCTGCTATTGCGCACTGACCGTTCTTTTTGACGAGAATGTTCTTACTTTTAATGTCTCGGTGCGCTATGGCGGGTTTCCCTTTCGTTCCGAATATATCTAGATGGAGATGCGCTATTCCGCTGACGATGGAGTAAGCCATGGTCATCAGCCCGTGAGTGTCCAAGACAACAGTTTGCAAATAATCGTGCAGTGATCCGTTTTCGTGGTAGTCCGTGATGAGAAGCATTTGTGTCCAGGATCCGGTTCCTTTGATATCCGCGGCTATGAAGCCCAATATATTCTCGTGTCTCATGAGGACGGTCTGGTATATCTCAGTTTCTCTGAACCATGACGCCTCTTCAGTAGTGAAGAAGACTTTGACGGCAACCTTCTCGCCTCGCCATTTCGCAAGCCAAACTTCGCCGTAGCGTCCTTTGCCGATTGATTCCACCATTTGTATTTGTTTGGCGACGGTGCGCTGCACTAAGAGCGGGAGGCCCGAGCCGGAACCCGAGGAGATTTCGGATAGATGTGAAGGCGCCGGCGGAGATGGTGGACGCTTACAACCCCCTCGTCGTTTTCTAAGCAGAAGCCAAAACGCGGCGAGGAAGGCGAGCAATGCGATGCACAAGGCGGCTGCGACGAGGAGGGTGGGTGTGGGAGTTGCTGCTGGTCGTGGCAAAGGCGGGTCGTCCAGGTCAGGTGGGGGCTCAGCGAGGTGCGGTCGCAGGTACCTGTTGCACAAATCCTTTTCGCAGCATTCTATCACCTTCGGGTGTTGGTGTGGCACTTGAGAGCTTTTACACTGAAACAAATTATTGTTTTTTTTATTAAAAAACAGGTTTAGGATATCAAATGAACCAAACATAAAATGAAATAAACCAATTTATATAAAAGGAGAAGAAACGTAACAATTTCTATTTACCTGCATAAAACCGGATTCATCTGGAGGCAAGCAGCCAGCGGTCCTTTCAAGCACGACAAAGCCGGCATCATCCAGCACCTCTTCGACGGCCACGAAGCAATAGCCACCCGGCTGGGTGCTGCATGTGCCATTTGATGAGCCGTCGGGGCAAGCACTTGCGCCCGCGCACTCGCATAATATGCCCCGACCTTTAACAAGAAAGAAGGCACAAATGAGCTTTTGCAGGTCGATGCAAAGATTACACAAAAACAAGAACAGACCATTAAAAATTAAAAGAATATTCCAAAATCTCAGACGAGCTATACAGTCCTTTGAAACCTTTTAACATTAACATATTTTCAATAAGTTGTGACATAAGAAGACCTTTACTAGAAAATGAGTTAGAGTACAACTCAATAATAAAATGTATTATTTGAAACACTAATTTGACCCTTAAATATATTTTCATACAACATAGTATATGTGTATAAATGTCAAAACAGGTTAGTAGTTTGTTTGTCATGGTTTCAAAGATTAATCAACTGATTGGAATTTAATATAGAAACAAACTTCTTTAGATAACAAGTGCCTTGTATCTGCCTCGATGGTCCGGTGGTTAGTGCCCTAGACTGGGTTCGAGTCCTGGTTCAGGAGAAAAGTTAAACAATTTCTACCAGCCTCAAGTACGGAGTAAGGGTTTTGTGTATCTTTGGAACGCTGAAGTGACTTCTATCCGGCAGTGGTGAATTAAAATATTAAAACGCGGTAAGAATAAACGGTGTGGGTTTAATACCCTTTGGAGTGCACTAATCTGGTTACTATCAGATTTAGTACTCAGTAACCGAATAAAGCTCGTTATAAAACCGCGTGACATCTTTATAAATACACTAATGATAATGGGGGATCATGTGGCTTTCGTTTGATCTGCTTACTGGATAATTCATCTATGCTAATATTGTAAAGCTGAGGAGTTTGTTTAACCGCGCTAATCTCAGAAACTACCGGTTCAAATGGAAACAATATTTTTGAGAAGATTAGAGCATTTATCGAGGAAGACTTTAAGCTATATAACATTAGAGTACGATCAATAGGAACTAAGAAACATTGGGATGTGAAAAAAGCGGGGGGAAATTCATCTTTGAAAATAATTAAAGATATCCAAAAGATATGTGTAAAATAATAATAATTCTTTTAATGATCTGAAAGACCGCGACAGTATCGGTATATCATCTTTTAAGATTAACTTCCAAGAACAGCTGAAATTTATAAAAAGGAGGTTTAAAAATGATAGGTGGAGAAAGACGCGGCCACAGCGACTAAGTATATCAAAACTCTACGACAAATGCAAGAAATGGAACGTAACAAAGTTTTCTTACATAAATATGCCCTATTAATATATGTCTGTGTTACGCGGGGCGTGACACAGACATATTTCTGCGTCTCTTGCACTCATCGATTTAATTACCAGGCAATTCCATCTATTAACAAACCAAATTATTATATTTCACCAGGATTTGAAGCCAGGATCCCTTGTGCTTATAACAAGACTACGAAGACAGTCAAAATGGTATAATGAGAAGTAGAAATCAACACTTCACAACGATTAACGACGGACGAGAGGAAAATTAATAATTGTATTGAGTCATGCACAATTATTACCTTTTATTACCAATAACAGTTATTGTTCATTTATTTTCGGAATCCAATGACGTCATCGCTAACGATAGCCGCTTATCAAAATACAATAAATTAATTGCAAAATTAACACGAGATGATCCTTATCAATTGAAGCAATGTTCGTTTCGGCGATCTCACTTTGTTTAATAACAAATGGGGCCGCTAGAGACAGAGTGGCCTAATAACGAAAAAACATGATTTTCAATGAGGAAAATAAAAATGAATTTGTACTGTTGTTTGTGTAAAAATTATAAAAAATTTCGGTCACTGCAGTAATGTAAAGGCTCTAACGGCCTCAAATATATTTTAAATTTGATTTAGTACTTGAAAATATATAATATTATAAACCTTCTAGGTGTGTTTAGAAAGCTCTGTCTAGCGTCTGAATTTAGACAAGGATTTAGGATTAGAGCTTTTAGTATCAGGGTCAAATCAAATGATAAAATACAATAATAAATAACACTCAGTTTACATATCGGGATAATAAGTGAAAATCGAAATGATTTTAAACATAATTATAGTAAATACCGTCTATAGTTTACGCGAGTAGTACACATTGAAATAAAACACTTTAACGAATTGGAAATGAATATAATATTTCTCCCCGTGACCACGGCTGCTGCATCCGAAACGTCGGGAAGAAGTTAAAAATCATTTCCAAATAAGTTTAACTAATATATCGCGTTTTAAACCGTTAAAGTGTTTTATTTAAATGTAATTATAGTAGTTTATCTATACAATATTACGTATAACGATCAAGCAATTGCCACCTTAGTTAAGTCTAAGGTAGATTCTATCGCTACAACATAAAATTTTCCACTGTCTTGCATTTAATTATTTACTTTGCAATTAAACCTTTTTATTAGTTCGTCTAATACCTCTGTTACGTATAATTGGATTCCTCAGTTATATCCCTGTGCACGCATCGAAATGCTGCAATCTGTACAGAAGAACCTGACCTAAAATTCTCTAAGACACGTTATGTGGTTTCATAATTTCTATTTATAATAACCGACGATCGTAACAGAGTGAATAGGGCTCCGGTTTTTTGTACGTCCCGACAGGTATGGGACCTCTCGAGTTTCGACCCATATAAGGGACTCATTTATATTTTAAAGACAACAATAGACTAAGCTAGCAGGTAGGGTGTATCGAAATGTTTTGGAAGTGAAATCAACGATATAAACATAAATAACATTTAAATAAAAGACTTTAACGGTTTAAAACGCGATATATGTATTATGTACTTAAAATTATTTTACTGATACCTATGTTTCGTGAATCTCCCCGTGACCACGGCTGCTGTAAAGCATCCGAAACGTCAGGCCGTGCCTAGTTAAAATAAGTTGAACGAATATATATCGCGTTTTAAACCGTTAAGAGTTTAAATATACTACTACTACGGACAGTATATCTATATATAGCTATCATTAGTAAACGATTTGAAAACGCCGTTTAGAATGGACTCTTAATGTTTTATCCTAATTAGGAACGTAACGAGAACATACAATTAAAGACGACTGATTATAGTTAGAAAATGTTGGCAATGTGAAACGCGAACGAGACACAACTACCCATAAGACATAAGTTGTTTAGAGCTAGTTAATAACCGATATCGAATGTAATGCGAGATACATCGTAAACGTTACAAATAAACTAGCCTCGTGACGCGGCTTCGCGATAAAACTGAATGAACTATTGTCACTACAGTTATTCTCGGCGAGGACTTTAGCATAATGCAGTCTACTTACGACCAGTAAGCGAATACTAAGAGAAACGAGTCGATCCATACAACGATACACAAACGACACAACACCAACACAACATACGTCAGCGAGAAAGATAAAATCACGTACTTAATCTCATGTCGGGGAGAAATCGGAGCGATCCTGGCGATGCGTCGGCGCTATCATTTAAATTTAACTTGGGACACTGCCGTCGGTCGCCGGCTATATTTTTACACGGTGTGAAATACGCGACGTACGCAGTCCTGAGAGCTGCTCGCGGTGGGCGCGTGCGTCACTCGCGACGGATGCGGTGCGAATGAGACGCGGGCATTCGGGCAGGGCGAGGCGCGATGCACGCGGCTCCCCCCTCGCGCCCCCGCCCCTGTGTGCCCTGTGCAGTATGCAACTGCAGCCTCCACATGGTCAAAGTTGTGTCGCTCGGTGCGCTAGCACGCGAACGATTCATTGACTCAAGATAATCGTAGTTTCGTACACGTTAAGTAAACATTGGAGCGGCACTGTCACGTAATGAGAATCGGTCAAATTGCACTATGCTTAAATTGTTGTGCTGTTGTTTAAATTAATTTAAGATTAGTGAAAATAAAAGTTTTTATTTTATATGGTAGCTTTAATTCGAAAATTATATTTTGATTTACAATGAATGCCTAAAAATGAATTTTGTGGTTCAAATCCCATCGGGTGAAACGTGTATCTAAAAATATATGTTGGATCCGATGTAGAGGGAATTTACGTTCGGGTCACTAACCAGCGTCTACATGAGAAGCGATAGAATGTAATTCACGTTTAGACTTCGATTTCTGAATGTCCGAAAGCCATAGGTCAATAGCGCATCGTTTCACGGCTAGCGATTATCTAGGTAGGATCATCATGTCAACCTCAGGATCGTACGTCCATCGTTATTCAAAATGTATATACGCCGTTTATATGGAAGCAAGACTAGAATTGTCTCTTTAGGGAATACTTAATTTCTAAAGCACTATGTTCGTCACCAGTGATATGTACAAGTTCAATGATAAGAAAACAAGAGTCCATTGTGACTTTTATTATGTCACTTTCTTGTGTACTATAATTAGCATACTACATTTTATTAGTACTGTATTTGATGTATGTATTATTTTTTATATGTTATAAGAATATGGAAGTGTTTGTACGAGGTGAAATCGCCAATCAACTATCAATGCACACATTTACGTCATTAATTCGCCTCAAGGATGCAAGTGGACTTAAGACATATTTCGTAAGAAAATTTTCTTACACAAAACTACAGAGACATAACTAGTGGCTAGTTAGATTTTTAACTAGCATAGATAACATTTATAATTCAATTCTTTGCAACGGTTTACCAACCGCAGTCTCTGAAACAAAAATTTCGTTTAATAATAATAAATGATTTCTAAAAAATTAATAATATGTAACAAAATTTAAATAAAATTTTGTGATATACTTAATAAATCGCACCACAGTTAAGCCGCAAAACTAAATAAAAATAGTTACTAAAGTAAGAAGTAATTAATAAGTAGAGTATTTTATTATTGAAATTAAGGTAAATAGGCCCTCCTATGTAATAACCTGTATGGTATGCTTAATTTGATTTCGAATGATGAGCGATATCTCGGGTCGCTTTGAATTACCCACAAATTTTTCTAATATAAATTATTGACGGTTGTTTAGTCAATAACCCGTACGTGTATAATTCAATAATGATTTAAGCTAATTCAATTTATAAACCAAACCGTTTAATTTAAAGCGAAACCACAGCACGCATGATTGAGGGTGTGTAAAAGGTATTAAGTAACCTGCGTTTAACCCGATACGGCCCGATGCTAGCCACAAAAAACGCTGGTACCAGTTTGGAGGCGGCAGACGCGACGCGCCACAATGCCGCCGAATAAATTATTAAGATCTGGTGATCCGAACGCCAGGTCGGAGCAGTACTAAGCCGCTCTCCTAATTAACAGTCAATGGATTTTTAAATATGACACTTTCAACGGTTTAAAACGCGAAATATCCGGCATAGTTGTCGCACTAGACACATCAAGCCGTAGTTAAAATAAATTGCAAATAAGTTATCTATATTTCGCGTTTGAATACGTGAAAAGTTTTTATTTAAATGTGTACTACTCGCGTAAACTACGGACTATATGATTGAATATAATTGGACGAGGAATTTTCGATGAAATTGAAATATTAAGCAACTTATCGCTTATAAACTATCTGTACTAAACTAGAAATCACTCCATTTTTGAAGTGAGGTATAAATACAAGACCACGACTAGTGAAAATCATCAAAAACGCTGAAATAAAAAAAAGTACTATATTATATGAAAAATACTGCAATAGCTTGTCATAATATGCTGTAATAAAACAACTCGTTCAAGGAGCTATGACATGTTCCATACCATATGAAGTAAATGTTATACACTAAATAAACGAAAATTAATGTAATATTAGAGTATATATATTTAATAATATAATAAACTGTAATTCATATGACCTAATAAGTACGCATATACGCTCGTCAGTTGTGTAAAAGATTCGTACTTTGCAGATGATACTTGCAAATCACGGTAACGGATAACGGGAGCGTTACGTACGTGCTGGTAGAGTCTTAATTAGCGACAACACACTTATTTGCGCATACGCACGCACGATAGACGATCATTTCTACCAATGCTAGAAAATAGAGTTTTTTAATGTCACCTAAAATAGTACTATTGAACATAAACAATATACTCTATAATCTTTTCCGCCTAAGCCGAGTTATACTAATTATTATCCCTATCATCTATCAGGTATTATTTGGATTTATATTGTCAATAAAAATATGGATCGCTTTTGGTACAAACAATTACACAATAATATCAAATTATAAGACTGTGTGTCTGTGTGTTTTTAAGTTTAATTATTTTGTAATTTAAGTAGTTATAAGTTTCTCATGTGAGTGAGAACTTATAAGTTAGTACCTAAGTTTTTATCTCTTGTAGTTCTTGTGGATAATAAACCTGTAATAAATAAATGTCTTCAAACCGAAGCCGAAAAAAACACTTCACATATAAAGTTGCAATATCTCACAATACTTTGTAGATTATAAATATTTTTTTATCTTTTAAGCAAACGTGTCAGTTACCTGTTGTGTTATCGATAAAACTGGATTGAACCTGGGACACAATATTTGAACACCGTAATCGGTCATTCTCTTACTTATCAATAAACGTACACGTGTTTGGTGGATACAATTACAAGGTTTAGTAAAATTTAATTAACGATGCAAATAGTTATTGAAATGTAAGAAAAGGGCAGAGAATAACTCGAAGTCTAGCATAAAGTTATCTGCTTTCGAATTTCGTACAATTGACTTAATGACTGATTGACAAAAATAAATTCTATCACTATTATTGTGAGCCTGATAACAGACAGAAAACTTTATAATACGATTTCTACTGTCTATAGTTTACGCGAGTAGTACACATTTAAATAAAACACTTTAACGGTTTGAAACGCGATATATCAGTTAAACTATTTGAAAATTATTTTTAACTTCGGCCCGAGGTTTCGGATGCTTTGCAGCAGCAGTGACCCCGTGACCACGGCTGCTGCAAAGCATCCGAAACCTCGGGCCGAAGTTAAAAATCATTTTTAAATAGTTTAACTAATATATCGCGTTTTAAACCGTTAAAGTGTTTTATTTAAATAGGATTTTTGTTTTTTTTTACCAACTGGGCACAGAACACTAAAAAAGGCGGTTCTTGTGTGTTAATCTAAAGATAGACATAAAATGTTGCGGGTATTTTTCGATCATTTAAGTAAAGAGGCATTATTTTATAAATTAAAAAATTTACGACTCTGACAGGATTTGAACCATACGGAGCGTTCCGTACTGTCGCTCTAACCAATTGAGCTACCGTCATCGTCGATTTTTCAATTTATTGATAAATGCACCTCTTGCGTCGTGCCCGAGTCGTGAATCGTATGTCGTAGGGCACGCAACGGATACCCTCAGAGATGGATAATTTTCGACGGCATTTTCGCTCCTATTAATCGCATCGGGATTTTTATAGCCTAGCTTAACGTAGCTTAGCTTAGCCATAGATTAGCGTGTTAAAACAAACAAACAAACAAAACGTGTACTATACGCGTAAACTACAGACAATATTTAAATAGATTATCATTATTTTACAAACTAAACTTTAACCAATTAACAAGTATACAATCAAAACGTGACACAATTAAAATCCAGGTCAACCCACAGACGTACGCGTTGATATTTTGTTATCTGCCTATTCAACACTTAAACTCCATTATATAATTGACGAAAACAGAAATAATACCTGCGTATAGCTTTATCGAATTGATTAGACAATACTGCGCAATAATCTTGTTGTTTAAAGGTTATTTTTATCTATGAACTAGCTGTGTCAGCGACTTCGTCCGTTTTCTAGGGTATCTTGAACCGTTTTCGCAGCATACGCATCGGAAACCCCGTAGAGATGAATAAATTCCCCCTTTTTCCTATCCTATATATAAATAGAGAACATGAAGAATTGTTCATGAGATTAGCGCGTTCAAAAATACAAACAAACTCTTCAGCTTTATATGTTAGTATAGATAATAGATTAGTATCGAATACAATATTACGTCCTAGATACCTTTTGTGTGACCTGGAAGTAGTAAAAGATACATGTGTCATAAAATTTAAGATTAACTCTAGTAATGATAGGTGATAAGACGGTCTGTTACAAGTTATAACTTTTATTGGGCAAAACGTCAGTTGTAAAAATTTATAGCTTCCGCTGTTGACTATGTAAAAACAGCACTGGGAATCGTAAATGCGAAAAATTAGTATGCTGTTCATAGGATTAGATTTGATTTATAAGCGTTTAAAATAGCAAATGAAAAATAAATTGGGCTTCTAACACCAACGGATCAGCGGTTCGATTCCCACTGTCTGGAAAAATAATGTCTGAGACGTGAACTACTGCGTTAACGCATAATCGCGCGGATCAAATCTGCCTAAAATAGGTCGATAACGCATCGTAATAAGGTGATATACGGTTGGCGAATTCAGCTGCCATCAAAACTTTGTCTGTCTTTTGCGATACATGACAATCGGAGACCAAG